GCACTGAAATGGAAGGGACAGAAGCAGAAGGAGGTTCTTAAAGAAACAGAGGCCAATTTCAAGGCGCTTAGAAGAGGAGGTGATGAGAAGATAAGTTTAATTTTTATTCAAACATAAAAACAGCATTTTAATAACAACTAAAGGTGACATAGATACTTTATTATGGTATAGTATTTACATGTATGCCTGAGAAACACATGATATTGCCCCTTTAACTAAAGTGAGATATTTCAAAACATTATGCCTAACAGGTAAGATGTTATTTGCTCATAACCTTTCCACAGAAGCCCACTTTGAAAAATCTGAGCTATCTCTGTAACTAAGTTTCTGCTAAACTTGAGACCATTCTTCATCCTCACCTGTCTTCCTCCAGCTGTGTCGCAGGCTGCTGTTTGATCCCSTTCTTCATGAAGCGCCTCAGGAACACACACCACCATTGTCCCCAGTGTCAGGCCATCATCCACACCCACCATCCTCTCTGACACCAGGAGCACCACGATCATCAGGAAAGACTGTTGCCTGCGTTAGGTTAGGCTTTCAGACCCTAACCTGGGACTTTAAATGAGACTAGACATCCCCATCTTTACAAAACAACCTGATGAACAGAAACAGATACGTAGATCCTTTGTTTCAGCGCTGCTGTAAATAATTCCTCTTTACCAAAGAGAAAACAAAACGCTCTGTTTGAGCACCTGATGGAAACTGTTCTTCACAGCCTTTCCTATCAGTTTATTTGGTCTCTTTCATTCAAATATGTTGCATCAAAATATGCTGTGGGAGGAGGGTGGAGTGGGGGAGGCTTTACACAGTTTAGAATATCAGATTAATTCTAAAATAAAGGAAATAATATCTGAAATAGTTGCATAAGGTTCAGTTTAACACAATAATTGCATTCAGTTTGTGACWTAACTAAGTTTTGTGTCTTTATCAACTGAGGAATTGAGGTCTGTTGAATTGAGAGTCAAAGCTCTGCAGATCCAGGAAAATATCTGCTGCTTTAAAATGCCTGAAAGCMTCATCATCATTTTCAAATGAACCAGCAGACTTTCTACATTTGTTTGTTCTGATGGGATCTACAGTCACTTCATAGACAAACAGAACCATAGAACCACATTCTTTTGCATCCATCACTTTACTTTTATCAACATTAAGCTTCTATTCTACTATAGTTGCAATATTCAACTTTTTCTTGTATAAAGATCTCTATTTTTACACAACTGAGTAACCCTCCATTTCCTGTTATTTTTGTGTTGATGTCACACATTCATTTGTATCTGTGTCCATGTTGTATTACACATTTACTGTCAATTTTTGGTTTATTTAAAATGTTATTGGATTGTGCAATTTCAGCTGATTAATTGTTTATTATTGTAACTGGGAAGGAGAGTAACGCAATTTCAATTCTCTGTGTGTTTTGCACATCCAGCGGGTAAAATAAGTATTGAACACGTCAACATTTTTCTCAGTAAATATATTACTAGAGGTGCTAATGACATGAAATTTTCACCAGATGTCGGTAAC